ATTGAAGTTTCTCAACTCACCATCAGACAGCCACCCGCCACTAGTGCGGCGTCCCCCAGAGGAGTCATAAGCCGAAACAGACTCATACCTAAAAGGTCTAGAGTCTAGAGGCTGCAAAGGTGTGGTGATCATGCCCTCGTTGGAAACGTGGAAGTTGCCCCTTGTATTCCTTCTGTCGTTGCAACCAAGTGGACCATGGGTCAGGTGGTATGGGATCATCCTCTTCTGATCTCGATTCTCGATGACTAGACCAGAACTGTCCTGGTCTCCCCAGTGGCCACATCATCGGCCTCAGTCTCACGGCCAGTTGGCTGCCAGGCTCTTCTGACCCCCTGCTGTCCCCTCAGAACCAGCAGCTCCGCGCCACCAATGTTAGTGGCGTTGCTACGCCAAGATCAAAACACGCACAAAGCTTCGCATGGCAACTGCCCTGTCTCACTTCTGAACTAACCCTTGGGCCTAGGTAATGGCAAGATCACAAAATGAAATGTGAGAATGCGACATCGAAGACATGACCGATGCGGCCCGCGACTTCAACCAGTATGAAACTTTAGGCAGCCCGCATGCCGCCCACCTAGTAGCGAAGCCCTTGCATGTTCACCCCATGCCACCCATCTAAAATCGAAGCTCCAACCCCAAAAATCCAGTGAATGAAGGGGTGGTTTATTAGGGCGTTTGGATTACCATGAGTTGTCCAAAAAGGTCGCTGGGGTTGCCCAACGTTTGGACAGGTGAAACAGTGCTCTCCTGTTTGTGTGGAGCTATGAAACAATCTGATCGTCTGAAGACGTTCTGGTGTATGTGCTGCTGCCCGGCTTGTTTCACAGGTGCATTCCAGCAGTGTCCTTTTTTTTCAGCAGACAAACTCGACTTGCCATGGCTTTCCGTGTGGTGGCCGAAATCAAAATGGCAATTTTTGCGTGAACTTTGTACGCCCTCCTTTGGACGTGACGTGGTTCAAACCCAAGCCCTCGAGCAGCGTTAGTTCCTGTGTTCTCACGGGGTTTCAAAATGGTTCCATCGATACTGTAAAAATCTGTAAATCAAACCCAAATATGTTAGGTGTAAGCTAACATAGATGTGAAAAATTGCCCATTTATAGATGATTTACCTGTAAACAATGATGATTTTCCACAGTTAGGTTATATAGTTCCATTGAACTACTGCAACGTTTCTGCTGACTTGTGGCTGGGTTTGCGAGTTCAAGTTGATACCCCGTACAAAGAATCACACTTTGCGGGAGGCCAGGACTTAAATGTCTTCAGGGTCGCAGCTGTAAGTGTTACATCAGGCAGGATGCACAAACAAGTCAGTCTTCGAATTGTTGGTTTCAGGCACATCATGGGAGAATCTACAGGAGCCGCTGGTTTTTTCATAGCAAGCATGGGTATTTCCTGTAAAATTGTCCCCTGAAGCCATTCTTCAATGGGTAAACTTTGGTGAAGAGTAGTTTCATACTCTAATCTGCCAAGAGGTGACTGAGACTATATAACTATACGTATATAATTATATATAAATATCATTAAATATCAATATATATATACATATACATACATACATATATATATATAGATTCTAAATTTCAAAAAATGGCCAATATTTTGGCCACGTTAAGTCGATTGTTTGGATCAAATCAGATCACACATTCTTCCCCTTTCCAGGTGTCCCTTCAAGCAAAATCCAGTGACCCAGTGATTATAACAAACAAGGATGGTCCGTAAACCTTTGTGGCATGGTTCAATAGTTGAGCTTTTACAATCTTCTAACATCTTCCAAACAATTAAGTCTTGAAGACGTAGGCGAAGGAAATTTAGAAGTCAAACTTCCGACAATATGGACGGATGAAAAAGCAGAGGTGGGAAGAGTCAGAGAAGAGAAGAGAAGAGAAGAAGAAAGAAGATCAGAGAAGGTAGAAAAGTCACGAAACACTGTGTTTTTCTGGAGGGTCGAAAAGTAGGCTCGCTAAAGCGGCGGGTGCGGAGCCATCTGGGGAGATGAGAGATGAAAAATCGCACGCCGTTGTGGCGCGAAGCACATTTCGAAGTCAACATGTTAAAAGCACTGCATACTCAGAACGTTTATCGAAGTTGCGATGTGGAAAGAGTGCATGCCGGCGCGAAGCACATTTCGATGTCAAAATGCTAAAAGCACTGCATACTCAGAACATTTTTCGAAGTTGGGATGTGGAAAAAGTGCATGCCGTTCTGGCACGAAGCACGTGTTGAAGTCAAAATGTACAAAGCACACCATTCTCGGAGCACTTTTCGAAGTTGAGATGTTCAAAAAGTGCACGCCGTTGTGGTGCGAAGCACATTTCCAAGTCAAAATGTGCAAAGCGCGTCATCTTCGGAGCACTTTTGGAAGTTGAGATGTTGAACAAGTGCACGGCGCTGTTGCGCGAAGGACATTTGGAAGTAAAACATGTTAAAGGCACCACATGCTCGGACCATTTTTGGACGTTGAAGCGTCGTTTTGTGTGGCAGGCGCAAAGGATTCTCCACCTTGCCAAAAGTGAGCAAAATGTGAGGGTTTTGTAGCAGTTTCAAAAACGTTGGCAGGCGTCGGTCATTTGAGGAGGATCTGCAAAGATGCATGTCGCGTGCCAGGCGCAGTACAAGAGACATATTCATCAGAGATGTTAGGAGGTCAGGGCGCAGGTTTCCTGAGAGGGGTTGCATTTTGGAGCGTCAGATCTTCAGGTTTGCTAAGTTGATTTTGCGTGACAGGTGCAGCACTTCGTATGACCTGGCCTCACTTTTTCGTGGCAGGTGCAGTACTTTAGGCAGATGGAATGGAAAAATCGCGAAGCACATTGGTACGAGGCCGTCAGCTCTGCACTCAGCTTTCCGTTATTTTAAGGAAGTCTCGCAGAATTGCTTCGTTTGTTTTGTTGCCGCCTTCGAAACTTGAGGAAATCTCGCAGAATTGCTTAGTTTTTGACGTTGTCAAGTTCCAAGTTCAAAATGTGCGGAAGTCTCGCAGAATTGCTGCGTTTTGGATGTTGTCAAGTTCAAAACTTGAGGAAGTCTCGCAGAATTGCTTCGTTTTCGAGCTTGCAGATAGACAGATAGATAGATAGACAAGTACAACTACAACTACAACTATACAAATATACTACGCTACATTGCACTACACTACACTACACTGCACTGCACTGCACTACACTACACTAATTACAGTACACCACAACTACATTCCAACTACAGCTACAACTACAACTACTACAGCTACAACTACAACTGCAACTACAGCTACATTCCACTAAACTACACTAATTACACTACATTAATAACACTATACTGCACTACAGCTACAACTGCAACTGCAACTGCAATGGAACTGCAATTGCAACTGCAACAACGACTACACTACATTACACAGCACTACGCGACACTAATTACACTACACTACACTATTACGCTAGATACACTAGACAGATAGATGGATAGACAGATAGACAGATAGACAGATAGGCAGCGAGAGAAAGAGAGGAGACTCGGAGCCTCAGCCACCTTTCGGTCCATCAGTGGATGCATGCATCGCAACAACTCGCCTCTCCTATAGTATCCTATAGTGTTCTATCTTTGAAGGTTCCGCCACCGCCTTGTTCGGTACTACCAGGTATATAATATAAACACATCATGTATCATCTTTTGACATCATTCCACTTTTTACCAATAATAACTATGTGTTTTTGCTAGACGTCCAAACTTAGCCATGATAAATCACCCTGATTCTAGTGCCAGTCGCAAAGATTTACGGCAGCGGTTTTGCCGTGGGTAGAGCCACAGAGAGGCGTTGGTCCGGATAGGAATAGCGTCAAATGGTAGTCGGCGAATGGTGCGGCTTTGAGCTCCAAAAACCTCGGCAAATTTGAATCGTGCGGAGACAGGTTCGCCGCTCATCCTCTTTCTCGACCTGTGGGGGCCCACAAGTGATTCGATTGATGTTCATCATTGTTTTTATCCAACTTCGCCATGGAATTGTGCTGAAATGGTTTGCTTTGCGAGTCCCCAAAGCAGACCCAGTTTTGAATTCCGATTTTATAGGATTCAAGACTTGAGAGGACTGATCCTTCAAAGTTCTTCAAAAACCACTCTCAGCCACTCGCGGCATCATTTGAAGACTTCTTTAAATAGTTGGCCCAAAATCATCAATGCCTGTGGGGAAAACCAGTACCCCATTTTTTAAAAAACACATCCATTTGGTATCCCCAAAAAAAAAAATTGAGGACCTGGACTCTGGACAATGTTTTGGAATGAAAGGGTCAGTACCTCTCCAGTGTTTGCATTTTTTCCATTTCTGATTATGTTTTACTCTCGCATTCCCATAGCGCTCAGCTCTGCTCAAGTTTTCAACATGGGCTCCAAAAATGTGACCTGCGGGGGCACGGTATAAAAAATTGGATTTACATCAGTCGTTTTTGAGAACATTCAAAAAAATCGAAGGGCAAATGTTATCCAATCCTATCTATCCACAGTATTTTTTCTACAGTTTTTTTCTTTGATTCATAGAATATGATGATGGGAAAATTTACAGGAAAACCCTATATTTGATGGTAAAAACCATGGTTTCCTGTAGATTTTCCCTTCAACCAACCCAATGATTGATGTTTTTTTTTTTTAAATACAGACTTCCCGACCTCTTGATGGAGGGCTGCGGCATGTTCAATTCCCCTGGAAGCCGGCACATTTGGCGAAAGTTGCAGCCTTTTTCTACATCAATAGCTCTACGAAATTATATGCATACATAATCATTATATATATAACAGATATAACATTATATGATTATATAATGATTTAAACATCATTTCACACCTTTCTATGTTTCTGTGAATATATGCACATACACCGCCAGTGAAGTATGCAGCATATATATATATATATGCATATATATATATATGCATATATATATGCATATATATATATATATACAGAAAGAACATTAATAATGTTCATACAATATATTGTTTCTGTTGATTCCTGGAGCCTCGCGGTCAGGTCCTCCGTCTCCAGGTTTCACTGAGAAAAAAAAGGCTGCCGATGGAGGTTTCACCGCAGTTGGCTAGTTTGTTGGTTGATGTTTATGGGGTGGTTGATAAACCCTTACACAATGGATAGAATAGTTGATGGTTATAGTTATTGGATCAGAAGTTTAAAAAAAGTTGGTTCAATATACCCTTCATATTGATGATGGTGATCGAAATGTGTGAGCTGGGAAAAACGTCACGTAGATCACGGAGGTTTTTTTGGACTTTCCAATTCGATTTTGGGCACGGCTCGGGGATCACCGTCATGGGATGGCAGATATGGCAGATATCACTGACGAAGACTGACGGGTTGGTCCCAAGTTTGCAATGTGTCTACATGCCATGAAGAGCTTCGCCTGATGACAAGCTTGATATAATTGGCTGCTCGTTGACTGTCCTCACAAGGGTGGCCTTTAGGAAGGTTCCAAAGTTCCAACATTTTCTAAGCCTTCAGAACTGATGCGTTTCTGGCTCGATCACCGTCCGGTTGGGGCCTTTAGTTTTTTTTGCAGGACAGATATATACAGATATCACCAAAACTATTTCAACGTGGTTCTGCAGGTTGTAGACTGGTAATTGATGGAAATATTGCTATACTGCTCTACCATGCTATACCATGAAAGATATGAACAGTCTGAGACTCAGAGCATCTCAGAACATCTCAGGGCATCTCGTGAAGGTGTGACATTTATGGGGGTTTTAGTGTTTTTTTTCCCTCAGGGCACAATGATCAACAGCACAGCAACAGCTAATCTGTGAGCCCATGGGCTGCATATTAAACGCCAGGACCGATGGCAGGGCACGGTTTCGAGAAACAGATATTGGGAGATGTTGGAGATCTTTGGGCTTTATTGCGATAGCCGTGTTTTTCTATGATTTTCAAACAGGTCACGGTGAAACTTTGACATCAAACTTTCTCGCCAGTTGCGATAGCCATGGTGAAACATGTCTAGATGACCTCGCAGGCAAAATTTACCAGTCCACCAGTACACCTTTCTTTGTACCGTAGAATACTCAGTAAAAATGTACCGGTTAAATATGGTTGAAGAGAAAAATGCTGTTAAATTTGGTCGTAATAGAGAGAATTGATGATTGTGCATACCCAAGCAAAACTTCTTGTCCTGAATTGGTATCTCCAGAAAATGGTGTGTTTACCAGTGTTTACCGGGCCTCAATTTTGGTATTCCCGTGTATTGCCAATGTGTGTGTGTACCACTTTGCGAGTATATCCAACAATGAGGTTAGCACTTAGCTAGTACAATGAGAATTAACAACCAGCATCCAAGCATCAAGATCCAGAACTATTTCTGGTTACATCATGATTTCTACATGCATTCACAATAGATGCATCATCCTCGTGATGTTTCCATTTGGATGGGTAGAACCCCCCCTACCCCATAGGAGATGAGCAGCTTGCAGCAGCCCACCATCACCTCCAGTTTTTTGGCTTCTGAAAGGGTCCACTTGGCGGTTGCAGAAATGATGAGAAAAATGGGTCCATAGATGTCCATAGCAACTAATAGTAACACCCCAAAAGAATCAGATGGAGCAGTTTCAGTTCACTAGACATTTAAACCCCAGTGAATCCAAGCCAAATCCCATTAAAACCTCCATTTCAGAAGGTAACAAACCCATGGAAAGTGAGATCCAACTCATCCCAAATCCGATGCGTTGGAGACAACGTCTCCGGGACATGGGAAAAAAACCTAAAAAAAACGTCAGAAGTAGCCATGGTAGCCCCAAAAATCCATGAAAAGCCAATGAGATATCATCATATATCATCACAATCCCCATGGACATGTCCATTTGAGTTTTTTTCTTTTTTGCGTGGTTTAATCAAGTTTAATCCCCTAGCTTTCTTGGAATCCTGGCCATCGCTCAGCGGCAACCCAAAGTTGGATGTTGGAGGTTGACACCCCGCGACGGGAAAGGGACCACTATAGGATTGATCAATAATCTTGAAGATGGTTTCTTTCAGGGTGATGATAGAATATATCATATACAATACATCATATATATATATATTATGTGTATATCATATATATCATATCGTATCGTATCGTATCGTATCGTATCATATCATATCATATCACATCATATCATCATGAAACAAACATAGTTGTGAACTTGTTTGACCATGTTTTTACGGCCCCCAAGAATGGTTTGCATCCCCAGTGAATCACCATCAATATCCATCCGTCCAGGTGGTGAAGTCTATATCCTCAATGGCAGCACAGGCAGGAGCCGAGAAAAGCTGCGATATTGTGATACACACAATTTATATCAATTTATATTCGCAATATCACTATATAGATTTGATTCTGATTTGATATGTGTTTATTGTGTTTATATCTAGATTTACAATCATTTACATACAGCTTCAACATACATTGTACTCGTATGTATTTAGCTCTGCTTTTGCATGTTTTGATCCAGCGGTTCTTTTCCCCTTTGGTCAATCGTAGGTGGTGAGCTGAAGCCCGTGCCCTTCTTCCTCAACAAGGCGAGCTGGGTGGAGCTACGAATCGAGTGGGTCCCGTTTCCACATGGAGCTGGTCTGGAGTCAAATGGAGAGGTAGTGAAAAACATATCAGAACTCATAAATGTATTTTTTTCATAAATGTCATCATAAATTATGATGGTCAGACTCCTTATTCAGTCCAATTTTCTGAAATCATGAAACTTCGGGTGTGTCTCATGGGCCCCCCCCTTTTTTCAGGGCTCCTCCCCAGCCTGGGCCCAGAACCTTCGGGTCTTGTCGGCCAACTTGGACCGCGCCTGCGTGGCAGTCGAGCCGCGGGGAACGCCCAGGGATTTTTGGATGCCGCAAATGCGACAGGATTCCACCAAAAAATGTGCAAAGAAACATGTTCGTTTTCATGTTCTTGCATAATTTAGTAATATATAGTTATATGGCAGTGTGTCAAAACCTTGTACCCCTTCTGTTCACATCAAAATAGCTGGGATTTATGGATGTTCATCCCACTAAAAATGGTATTAATAGGTATTGATCCATACCCATATTTATATATGCACATATAATATCAGTGTTCAAATTGTTCTCAACCAAGAATCAAAGAAACATGAAACATCAAGCTGTGTTGGACTGTTTTGCTTCTTGAACCAAAGTGAGGATCGCTAAGCGAAAAGTTGGCATCGCCCAGGACGCTTTGGACCAGTCCAGTGGAGGGAGCCCTGCCCCCATGCTCGGTCGGGAAGCCAACGTTCTCAGCGATGGTGTGTCAAATTAGGACATCCGTCCGGATTGGTTGTATTTGTTAAAACACGTGTTTTTCTATAGGTTTTCAATGACGAGTGGTGTATTTTTCCATATCTTTCTGGGGTTTTCAAAAAGATTGAACACCTTTGCGGCAGATGTGTGGAACCCCAGGGCAGGAAAAAACTATGTGGAAATACGCTCGAGGACCCCCTTCGTAGGACTTGGTGCACCAACTACCTAGGCCTCATCTCGCTTCGAAGGTCTCCATTGATATTTGGCTAATTCTAATTCCAGATCAGTTTTTTTGACTGGAATCATCCTTGGGCACATGGGCAGATGTGGGCTTGTCTTTTTTAAATGGGGTACTGTACCCCCAATTCACCAATTCCAAGGGATTCTCCTAGTTTTTACATGTGTTTACAATCAACATGGCCACAACATGGGGCTCAATTTGTCCATTTCGGGGTCGAACAAATATCCGCAACCCCCCCTCGTGGTCCCCGTTCGCACAACTTGCTAGGTCTATTGCTTCAAGGCGGACCAAAGTGAGCCAGAGTATCGTGCCGAATTTGAGACTATCAAGGCTGGGACCACCTGTTCCACAGTCTTTTTTGCAAAGCAAACTGGCTAGAATCATTACGTTGAATGCCATGGAATATCAAGTAATATCATGTGGATTCATGTGGAGGTTTCCTAAAATGGGGGTACCCCAAATCATTCAAGTCATGAACGACCATGACTTAGTATTGAAACCCATGGTGACTTGGGGATCCCCCATGACAAAAGAAACCCTCATGAGTTTGGTAGCTTTTGACCTTGGATCTTCCCGCCATGCAGCAAGTAGTGACCGCTGGGATAGAACGTCCCAAACATAATTTCTGCATACTTCGTCATATTTCACATATTTCTATTTCTATGTACATATTTCTACATGTTTCATCATAGTCCTTTTTTTTGACTATTAGTTCATAATATACTTCTACCATCCATTACTAGTAATAGTAGGTGGGTAGACACCAAATATGCGAGTATGGTTCAGACCCCAGGTGACACTCCTGTTCACACCATAGTAGCTGTTGTATAGCTGCTGTTCCTACCCCTCACGAACCGATGGTAGGTACTGACACATCACCATGATCCATCCCTGTTGCTTTCAAAAGATCCCCTGTGCACCCTCTGGCAAGCTAACATAGATCTGCAAACTCAACGTATATTTAATTTACAGACGTTGTAATTCATTTTTGTTAGTTGATCAAATCATAAGACTCATAAATAATAACATGTTCTTCGTTGATTAACATATAATATTTAACCAGCACATCATCGATTTCTTGGTCAGTTCTGCCTTGGCCACATGTTGGGGCTTCTCTAGGCGCCGATCCGTCAAATTGCCTTTGGCAGCAGCCACACGCTGCTTGGCCCAGCTTGAAGATAGACCTATCAAAGATGGGGGGGTTCCACCAATGGGGGGGTACCCCTTTATCGCTGGATGGTTTAGGGAAAATCCCAATCTAAAATGGATGATGACTGGGGGTACCCCCAATTTATGGAAACCGCCAGATGGTGATTTTCCAGGTCGCCACCTGTTGAATTGCCAGGGACCGGAGGTAGACCCCGAACTTACTGCAGCAAATTTGGTACCCAAGTTTCAGATATTCCCCTAATATAGTGTATCATCCAATACCAGATACAACCCAAAGAAATTGAACATGAACTAACATGAACTAACTATTTGTTGTTGCTTGGAATAACACATGGCTGGGCTGTATATGGCCAG